GGAGCTCGATCTCACAAACTGTGAGACCATGACCTGAGATGAAATCAAGAGCCACCCAGGTGCCCCCTAACTGATCTCTCTGCAGCTCCTCTCTCCCGAAATTATCCTTCAGGATACTGCTAATTAATTTTTCCAAACTACCACTGGGTTCATTTCCTATTGCAGTTACAACAAATTACCTCAAACTCTGAGGCTTATAACAACACAGATTTATTGTCTCACACGTCTGGAGGCCAGGCGTCTGGAACAACTTTCATGGGGCTGCATTCACTGAGGAAGCTCTGAGGAAAAACTGTTTCCTGGCTTTTTCAAGTTTCCAGAGGCTGCCTTCCTTGGTTTGTGGCCCTTTCCTCCTCCTTCAAGCCCAGTAGTGTGCCATCTACAAATCCCTTTGACTCACGATTCTCCTCTCTCACTCATAAGGACCCTGTGTTTACACTGGACTACCTGGATAATTCAGGAGAAGCTTGCATCTCAGGACTCTGAACTTAATCAAATCTGTGTAGTCCTTTTTGCCATGTAAGGTAAATACTCACAGGTTCCGGGGATAAAGTCACGGACGCATGTGGGAACCATTGTTCTGCCTATCACAACTACGAGTAACATCAGCCCCCTAAATCAAAAATCTGCAGTGGCCACACTGCAAACTCCTCAACAAACTCCTCAACAAAACACTAGCAAACCAAATACAACAACACAGGAGAAGTATTATACACCACAACGAGTCCTGAGACTTATCCCAGGAATGCAAAGTTGGCTTAACATTCAAAACCAATCAATCTAATACACTACACTAATGTAATGAAAGAAAAGAAAAAAACCCACATGATCATCTCACAGATACAGAAAAACACATTCGACAAAATGCAATGCTTTTTCAAAACACAATAATCAAACTAGGGAACGGAAAAGAATTTCTTCAACTTGATAAAGGCAACTGAAAACTCCACAGCTAAGAACACCATACCTAATCAATGGTGAAAGTCTGAATATTTTCCCTGTAAGATCAGAAACAAAGCCAGGATGTCTGCTCTCACAAGTTCTACTCATCACTATACTGGAAGTTTTTACTCAGGGCGATTAGGCAAGAAAACCAGAAGGCATTCAGATTGGAAAGCAAGAAAATCTCATCTGTGTTTTCAGATGACATGATCTGTATACAGAAGAATCTCAGGGATCCACTAAAAAACTATTAACCAATAAACAGGTTCAGAGAGGTTGTAAGATCAATATACAAATGCCAACTGTATTTCTATACACTAGCAGTGAACAATCTGAAAACAAAATTGAGAAAACAATTTATAATAACATCAAAAAGAATTAAAATACTTAGAAACACATTTCAAAAAAGTACAAAGTTTGTACACTGAAAACAAGAAATCATTGTTAAAAGAAATTAAAAGCTGCACAGCAAAGGAAACAACCCACAAAACTAATAGGCAATCGACGGAATGGGAAAAGATAGTTGCAAATGACATATCAGATAAAGGGTTAATATCCAGAATCTATAAGGAACTCACCAAACTCCACGCCCGAAAAACAAACAACCCAGTGAAGAAATGGGCAGAAGATATGAACAGACACTTCTCCAAAGAGGACATCCAGATGGCCAACAGACACATGAAACGATGCTCAGCATCCCTCCTCATCAGGGAAATACAAATCAAAACCACACTGAGATACCACCTCACGCCAGTCAGAGTGGCTAAAATGAGCAAATCAGAGAACTCGAGACGCTGGCGAGGATGTGGAGAAACGGGCACCCTCCTACACTGTTGGGAATGTAAACTGGTGCGGCCCCTCTGGAAAAGTGTGGAGGTTCCTCAGAAAACTAACAATAGAACTCCCCTATGACCCAGCAATAGCACTGCTAGGAATTTACCCAAGGGATACAGAAATGCTGAGGCATAGGAGCACATGGACCCCAATGTTCATAGCAGCACTCTCCACAATAGCTAAAACATGGAAAGAGCCTAAGTGTCCATCAACGGATGAATGGATCAAGAAGATGTGGTATCTATACCATGGAATACTACATGGCAATGAGAAACAATGAAATCTGGCCATGTGTAGCAACATGGATGGACCTTGAGGGTGTTATGCTTAGCAAAATAAGTCAGGCAGAGGAGGACAAATATCACATGTTTGCACGTATAGGAGGATTAGGAGGAACTTAACTGAGGACCATGGGGGAGAAGAAGGGGGGAAATGGTGGGGGAGAGAGAGAGAGGCAAACCATGAGAGACTCTTGAATGCTGAGAAACAAACTGAGGACTGATGGATGTGGGGGGGTGGGGGGAGATGGGCATGGAGGAGGGCACTTGTGGGGATGAGCACTGGGTGTTATATGGAAACCAATTTGACAATAAACTATTTGTAAAAAAATAAATAAAAGAAATTAAAAGATGACCTAAAGGCGTGGAAGAAAATTTACAGTCCAGAAATAATTCCCTACATATATGATTAATTTTAACAAGGGCGCCCAAGAAAATTCAGTGTGAAAAGAACCGTCTTTTCAACAAATGGTGCTGGGAAGTCAGGTGTCCGCATGTCATAGAATAAAGCTGGAAGCCTCCCTTCCAGCATACCAAAAAATGTACTCTAGAACCTTAGGTAAGGACTTAAACTCTAAGACCCCTAGAGGAAAGCGCAGGAGTCTATTTTTTGTGACCCTGAGTTACTTAGAGCCTTCTTAGATACGATAACAAAAGCACGAGCAGTAAAGGAAATGATAGGTAAGTTGGACATCATCAAAATTAAAGTTTTTTGCTTCAAAGGGTACCATCAACAAAATGAAATGATAACCCTTACAACAGGAGAAAGTTTTTGCAAATTATGTATCTGATAAGGGACGTGACTCCAAAATACATAAAGAACACTTAAAACTCAATAATAATTATAAACAAAGCAATTTAAAAATAAGCCAGGAATCTGAATAGGCATTTCTTCCAAGATACATCAATGTCCAACAGTACCTGACAAGATGCTCACAATCATTAACCATTAGGGAATTGCAAACCAAAATCACAACAAGTTACCATTTTGCCCCCATGAGGATGACAATGGTCCAGAAGTCAGATTATCAGCAAGTTTTGCAAGAACATGGAGACAGGGAGAATCTCAACACTGATGGTGAGAGGGGACAGTGTGCAGCCACTGTGGAAACAGTGTGGCAATTCCCCAAAATATTAAACAGAGAGTTGGTATATAACCAAGGAGTTGTACTCTTTTTTTTTTAAGGTTTTATTTTTTAAGTAATCTTTACACCCAGCGTGAGACTTGAACTCACAACCCTGAGATCGAGAGTCACATGCTCCACCGACTAAGCCAGTCAGGTGCCCCCAACAAGTACTAACCCAAGAAAAATGGAAACATAGGCCTACGGAAAACTGCTGCTGACAGTATCAGTATTTGTTATATCCAAAAAGTAGAAACAAGCCAATTGTCCATCAACTGATAAATGGATAAATTAGACGTGGTAAAGCCACACAACAGGTATTATTCATCAACAGAAATGAACAAAGTACTGATACTTGCTCTAACCTGTACCTTAAATACATTCTGCTACATGGAAGAAGCCAGTCACAAAAGACCACATGTTAGGACTCCATTTATACAAAATTTCTACAGTGAGTAAACCCATAAAGACAGAAAGCGTATAAGGGGTTGCCAGGGCTGAAAGGCGGGGAACAGTGAGTAACTACTAATAGGCACAGCGTTTCTTTCTGGGCTGATGAAAATGTTCTTAAGGTAGATGGCGATTATGATTACACAACTGTGAATATACTAAAAACCACTGAATCGTATACTTTAAATGTGTGAGTTTTATGAGGTGTGAATTATATCTCAATAAAAGCTGTCCAAGGTATTCGCTTCATGTGCAAACCCACTGTTGAACATAATAAATTTTCAAGAAGTCTGGAGAGAAAATAAATACATAAAATACCTTCTAAGAAATGCATATATTTTTCTTTATTTGTTACATTTAACATAAAAAGCATCTATGCAGAAGAGTGATCCCAGGAATGTTCTATCCTAGAGAGGTATAGGACTATTACTAACACAGCATGATTTAAAATAAACAAATCATAAAATGAACAGCAGATTTCAAATAAACACCATCGAAGGCTCAGTGGTCTCCACATCTTTGCCTTCAGGAATGACTTCAATAACCTTTTCAGATTCGCCTCTCTACCCCTCAACACAAGTTCAGCTGGGCTACACTTTCCCCTGCCCACCCCCCACCATTCACTGAGTGCCCTGCTCACCCCTCTACCACCTATACTTCTGAGGACTTTCCACCCAACCAAATGCTTCTTCATCTTTGAGGTCCTGTCTCATCAAAGAAATTTTCCTCACTCTCTCCAGACCATACCAACCCAATATCCACTGACCTCTGACAGGCTGAACTGTCCACACCTCTAAAGGGACTCCTCACCACCCGTGTTCAGCTAATGCTCTCTCAGAATAATTTTTTTAAAAAAGAGACAGAGAGAGAAAGAGAGAGAGAGTCACCAGCCTTGATTCATTGATTTATCCATGTCATCTGATAGTTCCCTCACTTTGGGGAGATGACAGATCAGTTTTCACCCAGAGCCCTAAAGTAAAGGGCAGGCACGCTTGCCAATGACAGAGCGCCATCTAGTTGCAACACTGGGAAACTCTCCGAGGCCTCAGGAAGACCACACCACTCTTACGTGCTCAAGGAGAAAATAAGAGGCCATAGTATCGTTCTGCAGGGCAATGCAGTGTGTGATAAGTGCATCTTATCACCTGACCAGTGTACCTCACATCTTACAGGTATTATTTGCCAGCTCGGTGCCACTCATGCGTGGGTCCGTTAGTGTTCACCAAATCAAATTCAATTTGTGAAGTACACTACTTGGACAGATGGCTAAAAATTCCTGGGATCATCACATGGGAGCAGTTTTGAGTTTTCTTATAACAAATAGAAAGCACAGATGAGTGCAAAATGACAAGAAACCTCGCGATTTACTCACATATAATGGAGCTTGCTGTGGATTAAGTTTCATGACCCAGGACACTGAAACAGAAAAGGGAAAAATAAATGAGAATAAAATTAAAAGTTATCACCCAAAGAATAAAAGCTACAAACACTAGGTGTCGAGTATGGCTATATGAACATGATGCTACGATGCTCCTTAGAGGTTTGGGAAGGCCAGAAGGTCAAGGGTTGCAAATGTCTTATAGCCCAGAGTTAATCTCTTTAACTGAGGAGAAAGACTTTGAAAACTAAAGACAAAAAAGGCTTCACTGTCCTAGGAGAATTTTCAACAACCAACAGGATATTAAATGCAGTTACCAGAGCGAAAACAGTGCATATTCAGTTATACTTTTACATAATCCCCCAAATTTCACAAAGTGCTGCTTGGCCAGAGTCTCTTCTCACCAGGGAACGTGGAGGGAGGGGCAGCAGAGGTCCAGAGAGTTCTCCTCTCAGCCCTCGAGAAAGGAGGCTAGGCTGGCTTCCACAAACTATAAGTTCTTACCCTCCTCAAAATTAACAGCTGGTTTCCCTAATGTTTTCTTCACTAAATGAATTCATACAAAAATCTCAGGAAGAATTTTACAGAAGACTTCTGGGCTTGTCAATACATTTCCCGAATGTTAAGAAAAGCATGCTCTGTAAAGTTTAACTTGGTGATTTGACCAGAAGCTTCACACTGAAATATCACGGTCCATAATTTCAGGATGGCAGGCCCTTCGCCAAACAGCCTAAACTTGAGCATAAGCTGATCCTGTCTTCACAGAAGTCAGAGGGGCCGACCCAAGGGATTTGATTACAATTTGATCTAAGGAAGCTTCTTACTCCTAGAAAATGGATTAAATTAAGGCACACAAACTAACTGACCAGTGGCATAAACAACAGTAGAGAAATGTCATTCACATGTGCAAAAAATAGATAAAATCACATGTGTTCTACCAGATTACAAACAGCTCACTACCACTGAACTAAAACCCAAACAGCATAAACAGCAGGTTATCAATGACTAAATGTTTAGAAAGAGCAATGAATGCCTTAGCAACCACACAGAACTTAAATAACAGAATCCTGTCAATATTAAAGTCCGCATACATCTACCAGTGTGGCCAGGCTGTGTAAGTCCGAGATCGAGGCTCACCCAAAAAGCAGTTAACACACACTTAGGAGGAAAAAAACAAAAACCAAAACTGTAATCAGGCTCCTAAACCCAAACATGTCCAAACCACTTGCAAGTTATGGGCTTTTCAGCGTGTTTTGTCTACAGCGGGGGGGCTCCCGCCACTCTGACCACCTCCACATCCACCCCTGTTCCTTCTCTGGCCCAGCCCCAGGCTGTAAGACACCTGCTCTACACACTTTCCTTCCTTCCTCTCTTCATTTAATAGTTTTGTGTCCACAGGTGCCAAAATTACCTGCAAAAATCCACAATGAAAAACCAAGCTTGAGAAATGTAGCAATAACTCTTTTTGTAGAAAAATAAAGTCAGTTTCCAGCCCATGAAATTCAAATAGCAAGCATGGATGGAAAAGACTGAAGCAGTTGAGTATGTTTCTCGATGCATTCAATACCCATTTAATTTAAAATGAAGTTCACTGTGCTCAGGAGCCTTTTAATCAGATTTCCAGGTCCTGCCCAGACTTGCCCGGGACAGAAGGCCAAAAGAACCTATAACGTTATAGACCACTCGGCCTTACCTAACTTCTGACATGTTCCTGTCAAGAAGTATCCGCGGAAACTGAAACAAGACCTCACCCTTGGGTGATCCGCAGCAACTGGAGGAATCTGGGGAGACCCGCTAGTGACTTACCAGCCCTCCGATCTGTCTCCATACGCCAAGAAACTTAGGTCAACTCTGTTTGCAAAGACCACAGACCTCAGCCGCCCGAGCGGCTCCCACTGCACCAGGGTGGAGGCGCCGGGGGGCACCCACGCGGCTGCAAGGAGGGCTGATGTCACCTCAGCTGTTTGGTGCTATCAACTCGGCGGAACCCATGCAAGTTGTTCTGATATGAGGATTAAAGAGGAATGACAAAGTGTCTGTCCCTCACACTGGTCAAAGGGACAGGCCATTGTTATGCTGGCAACAGAGGCTGTTGCAAGAATAAATCTGTCAGAAGTCATCAAGGCAATGACCCCAGAGGCAACAGATTTGTAAATTCAGATTGCTTTAAGCTTCTTCAGTGCTGACACACAAGAGGAAAGGCAGGACTAATATTTATAGAGCTAGAGAGAGCTCTATAAATGAATTGAATATAAATTCAATATCACACTTAATCCCCATAAAAGGAAATTATTTCACCCGTTTCATTGGTTAAAAAGAAGGGAGTCTTTCAATGATTATTTATCACCAACTTGAAGAAGTGAGAGAGCCCATCAGATGCCCAAACATGTACTTCCCCCCTTATCATGAGAGGACCTCCTGAATGACCTCAATCCACAAACTGACTCATCCCCCATCTAGCCCCCATTCTACACACACTATAGACTCCCCTTGACTTTGTTAATTCAACTATCACTGTGCATCTATAATGTGCCAGGCATGGTACTCCCCGAGGCACTAAGGGCACAGAAGGAATAAAGACAAAACTCCCAACCTTCAAAGAGGTTATTCTAGGAGTAGCACATATACATACAACATTAAAATAAATGGTTTTCAAATAGTGATAAGTTCCATGGAGAAAAATAAAGAGAAGAGGGAACAGGAAATGAAGGGGAGGGTCTTGTTTTACTGAGGGAAGGACTTCTGAGGTGATATTTACCCCCCAAAAATGAAGAGATTAAGAGGGATGCCTGGGTGGCTCAGTCAGTTAAGCATCCGACTTCCAGGCAGGTCATGATCTCGCAGTCTGTGAGTTCGAGTCCTGCCTCTGGCTCTGTGCTGACAGCTCAGAGCCTGGAGCCTACTTTGGATTCTGTGTGTGTGTCTCTCTCTGTACCTCCCCCATTCATCCTCGGTCTTTCTCTCTCTCAAAAATAAATTAAAAAAAAAAAAAAGAGAGAGAGAGAGAGATTAAGAAGGCATGTAATAGAGGTAACAGGTAGAAGGTGTTCCAAACTCTCAAACTGGCCCCAAAACTGAGAAGTCAGAGTTCTGCTGGTAAACCATCAGAAAACTTGCTACCTATAACGCACAGCTTACTCTACACAGTAAGTAAGCTTACTCTACTTGAGAACTGTGTTCTAAAAGATGGAGCGTTCTGCAGGAAGGTGGTCTTTGAATCAGAGTAAACACACTTAACACCCAAATGTACCCCCTAAGGCCAACTGAATGTCTTTGTTCTGTCGATGGGATCTTTGATCAAGCCTTCCCTAAAGGAAAATCAAAGAAACACCCTATGTCCACCAATGATTTCATCAAGGAATTTTAAGAGGGAAAACCCTACAATTTCCTTCTTACCCAGGTACCAGTGAATGGCTTTGACCAAGTCCAAGTCTCCCTGGGCCGCTTTCACTTACTGCAAGTACCACACGTGACAGGCACAGGGGGATGGGCTGTAGAGGACGAGTGCATGCGATCCAAAGGACGAGGAAATGGACACAGCGAAACGCAAACGCCTAAATAAGATGTGATGTCAAGCACGTTCCCCGAATCTGCCCCTCAGCAGCAGCCAGCTAGAATCCGGGGCCATGCATGCAGGGGGTGAGAAACAGAAACCAGCTAAGTAAGTACTCTCGGCCTCACCTTTTCCGTGTTACTTCCAAATGCTGACAGAAAAGAAATGGAATAGTTGGCTGTCGTATAAAAGTATAAAAAAGTAACACATTCACTTTGTGCCAAAACAAGACCCGTCCAATCTGAATGCAACGGTCTCTGACGGAAGTCCCGCCCTCCTACGATTCTGCAACTCTCGGAGTGCTGCCGGATAGACCAGCACACACTGGGCCTACAGCCTCCTCCTGCACTTCAGAACAAACCATCACCAGCCTTTCAGGGCACACACCATCATCAGAATGTATCGGCGCTCGATGCACAGGGCTTACAACAGGTTAACAGTGGCACACGTTCTACACCACCTGCAAGGATTATGAAGACACTCCATCACTATAAAGGATCACGTGGAAACTCGGGCATGAAGTGATATGGCTGTTTGATGGATCTGTGGGGGAGGGGGTAGTGAGGGACAGAAAGCCCTTACATCGATCAGTGTGCCTGAGCAAATGAATGCAAAACTCGAGAAGCTGCAAAAACAGTGCACATTCTAATAATAACTGGTGTCCACAGCAGGGGCTGGCACACATTTTCTGGAAAGGGCTAGATGGTAAAGATTTCAGGCTCTGAATGACTTCTTTCACTTAGTGTAACACCCTTCAGTTCCATCCACGTTGCTGCAAATGGCAAAATTGCGTTCTTTTTCACTGTCAAGTAATATTCCACTGTATATATAAACCACATCTTCTTTACTCATTCATCAGTTGATGAACATGTAGACTCTTACCATAATTTGGCTGTTGCTGATAACACTGCTATAAATACTGGGATACCTGTGCCCCTATGAATCAGTACTCCTGTCTCCTTTGGATAAATTCCTAGTAGTGCTGTTGCTGGTCAGAGAAAGACAGATATCATATGTTCTCACTCATATGTGAAATTTGAGAAACTTAACAGAAGACCATGGGGGAAGGGTAGTTATAAACTGGGAGGGAATCAAACCATAAGAGACTTAAATACAGAGAACAAAGTGAGGGTTGATGGGGAAAGGGGGTCGAGGGGGAGAAGAAGATGGATGATGGGCACTGAGGAGGGCACGTGGTGGGATGAGCACTGGGTGTTGTATGTAAGTGATGAATCATGGGAATCTACTCCTGAAGCCAAGAGCACACTGTATACACTGTATATTAGCTAACTTGACAATAAACTATATGTATTTAAAAAAATTTATTTTCAGGCTTTGCAGGTCATATGGTCTCCGGTGCAACGAGTAAACGAAGAGGGGTAGCCATGTTCCAATAAAACTCTATTTACCAAAAGAGGCAGTGGACTAGATTCAGCCGGTGTGCCATAGGGTGCCATTCCTGAACAAAAACTGATACCTCTTAAT